ATTCCGAGTTGAGCATTGGCGAGGAGATGTGACACTTGCACCTTTTTTTGGCATTTCTTTGACCCGTCCTCTCCCATCACCACCTATTATGGTTGTTTGGCGCACTCCACCAGTTGGATCTTACAAGATCAACACTGATGGATGTGTCAAAGATGGATTTGCAAGTGGTGGAGGCATCATTAGGGACCACGCAGGATACTGTATCAGGGCATTCTCAGCATCATATGGCCCATGTTTCATTTTGGAGGCTGAACTCAGAGCCATACTAGATGGGCTTCTATTGGCCAGAGGACTTGGGATTTCAGCTATCTGGCTCGAGGCAGATTCAACATTGGCTATTCACTGCATTACCAAGGTGGAGGACCATGGTCGATTCAGGGTATTCTTAGACAGATCAGAGACCTCATCTACTTCGATAGAGACACGGTTTCACACATCTACAGAGAAGGCAACCAGGTTGCTGATTCTCTTGCTACAGAAGGCTGGAATCATCGGCGCTATCTAGAGTATGGTCCACTAGAACTGCCTCGACATATTAGGGCGATAGTGCGGATCGACAGACATGGATTGCCCAGTTTTAGAGGTTCGTAATTTAGGCTATTCTTTATTGTATAGGGAAGTAGTACTTCCTCATTTATTGCTTTCATTTATTACATTCATTTGTTGCATCACTGCTTTTTGGAGGTCAGGTTCATGCCCCCCTCCTTCCGTGTATTCTTGATTTTTATGAAATAAATATGGTTGGGGAACCCTTAACCCCCATCGACCTTCCTTGGTGGACCCTAAAAAGTCACTAAGGATGTGTGGATGTCTTTACCAAAAAAAAAAAAACCCTAAAACCCTAAACCCTAAACCCTAAACCAAATTCCTGTAGTGATTCAGGTCTTTCATTCACCGAAACTTCCCCTGATTTTCCTCTCATCGCCCTCAGTTCTAGTCTCATTGAGTGGGAAAATTTCCAGTGGTTGAAGTATTGTGCACTGTCTGCATTAAACACTCGTTTATGGTCGGAGGACTTACATGGGTTTTCCTGTACCGGGATTTCTTTGTGAAAGCGAAACCGACAACCTTCCCTTGTTAATGGAGTGAGCAGACGACCATATCCATGATGAGCATGTTATTGAAATAACCGGTAGTGATGCTTCCTCATCTACCTTATCTCAAGAACGGACATCTCATGGCATAGAGCAGCATCAGAATGGTAATCAGCCATCTACTAGTGTGAGGGTTCCAGTTTACCAGCCTCCACTTTTTTCTACAAATACGTCAAATTCAAGGAACTCATCACTTGCTCAGAGGGGAAATGGGCGTGGCCGCCGAAGGAGCCCATTAAATTCTGGGTTATGGATATCTGTTGAGCTAGTATTAACAGTGAGCCAAATTATTGCAGCTATTGTTGTGCTATCTTTGTCAAGACACGAACGTCCACACGCTCCTTTGAAAACTTGGGTTGTGGGTTATGCATCTGGTTGTGTAGCCATCCTTCCTCTTCTATATTGGCGATTTCGCTATCGAAACCATGGTTCTGAACAGGATTCAACTCAACACGTGCAGGATTCATCTCAGAACAACTTCTCTGCAGGCACTTCCAGTAGAAGAATTTCTGAGGGAGAAGATCATCAGACAACTGGTACAACATCTAGTGGTGGTCCAAATGTTTCCCCAAGACTTAGGGCACTTGTGGAATACTTCAAGATGTGTTTAGATTGTTTCTTTGCAGTGTGGTTTGTGGTTGGCAAAGTGTGGATTTTTGGAGGGCACTCTTCTTCCACTGATGCTCCCAATTTGTACAGGTTGTGTATAGTGTTTCTTACCTTTAGCTGTATTGGATATGCAATGCCTTTCATTCTGTGCGCAACGATCTGTTGCTGCCTCCCCTGTATAATTTCAGTCCTGGGTTTCAGAGAGGATTTGGCTCAAAATAGAGGAGCCACACAAGAATCAATTAATTCACTGCCAACTTATAAGTTTAAAGTGAAGAAGAACAAGAATAGCAACAAGGAGAGTAACTCGGCCACAGATGAAGCTGGAATAGTGGCTGCTGGAACAGAGAACGAGCGTGTGGTATCAGGAGAGGATGCGGTTTGCTGCATTTGCTTGGCGAAGTATGTGAACAACGATGAACTCCGGGAATTGCCTTGCTCTCATTTCTTTCACAAGGAGTGTGTGGATAAATGGCTAAAGATCAATGCATCGTGTCCACTTTGCAAAGCCGAGGTTGGTGAAACTTTTTTGAGTTCACTCACTGAGGCGACTGCCAGTCTACGACAGAGAACCATGTTATAAACGGCGAAATGGAATGTCCCAAGTCGAAACAATGTTTGCTTCGGCTTGTCCTTGGGATCGAGAGCTCGTGCTCGAACTGTCTTGTCTCGAGAAGATGTTGTCCATCACTATATCAGAGAGAGGGAGACAGAATTATAGAAAGTGGACATCCTGTAAAACTGCTTGTTTAGTGTTTTGTTGAACTTGAATGATCGAGTAGCAACTCCATTTCTCCTACGCTTTGCACTTGTATTTACAGAGATAAATGGTGTTTATTATTTGTTTCATTCAAAAAAAAAAAAAAAAACCCAAAACCCTAAACCCTAAACCCTAACCCCTAAACCCTAAACCCTAAACCCTAACCCCTAAACCCTAAACCCTAAACCCTAACCCCTAAATCCTAAACCCTAAACCAAAACCAAACCATAACCAACCCTTCCATTTTCTCTCTAGAGATAGGAGATTTTTGGAGATTTCTAGCCACCCAAAATGGAATCACATCTGGCTACATTCCGGCAGCCAAGGCCACCGGATCTGACCACCAATAGATCCCCCTCACTTCCCTCTATAACCTACACCCAACCGTCGGCAATAAACTGGCCGGAATCTGATGAAAATAGGGGCCAAAAACCGGATCTGCCGCAAGCTATTTCTGTCGGAAAACACTGTTCCGGTGATACCCACGCCGGCGCACCACTTCCGGTCGATAGCCCTCTTCCAGACGATCACAACCATGGTCGCCGTTCACCATATGGAGCCTCCGATCGATCGAAATTGCATCTGAAAGTCCCGCCTGCGCTGCCTGCCAATTTTCAATTTTTCGGCGCCTCCGGTGGGACCCACGGTTGCGGACCACTGCCGGTCAGTAGCCCTTCTCCAGACGATCACAACCATGGTCGCCACTCACCATTTGGAGCTCCCAATCGACCGGAATTGCACCTGGAAGGTCCGCCTGCGCTGCCTGCCGAATCGCTGCCTCCCTTTCATTTTTTCGGCGCCACCAGTGGGACCCACAGTGGCGGACCACCCCATACCGACTCCTCTCATCATGGGCAACATCCATATCATATGGGTCTTCATCAATTTCATCCCAATCTCGCGAATCGAACGGATCCAATCCCTCAAGGTCAAAAGTCCGATTCTCTCTTAATTGACCCCACAAATGTGTTCGATTCTGCAATTAAACGTGGGGTAAATGAAATTCAAGCCCCAAATACTCTGGGTAATGTTCCAATTGCTGAGATTACATCATTAATTTGCCGAATTTTGGAATCAAATGGTGTTCTTCACACCTCTAGCGCTGCTGGTCAGATTTCTTCCATTTCTGAGCATTATTTGAGAAAATTGACACCTCCAATGAACTCAGAAGGTCCAAAAACATCAGAAGGGCCTATCAATTTGACCGAAAATATTACATTGGATTTCGTGCCAAAATGCACACAAATCGAGGCAGTTGGTACTGCTGTTTTTGGCCAGAATTCTGTATTTTTGACACTGCCATCATCTCCAGAGCATATGAAAACCTTTGGAGAGACCATTGCTCCAGCTGAAACTGACGGGAAATCTGCATTGGGAAACGTGCCAAGTGGCACACATACCGAGGCAAATCCTTCTAATGTTTTTGGACCTCCTTTGATCCCAGGAACTGCACCACTGGCTCCAAATCATGGAAAAACCCCAAGGATCAACACTTTACCGCCTAGTACATCCCAAACTGCGCGTACCATCAACGCGCGAGTCCCTCCTGCACGTAAGCAACCCCCACCACCACGTGCACCACCACGAGCCACTGCAACTTCCACAACTACTCATTCTGGTCCAAAATCTTATGCTGCAGCAGTTGGTAATGTGCCAGTAGTTTCTCAAGTAGAGAGGAGTCAAAAGAAGTCCTTTGCTCAAATTCTTCGAGCATCACAAGAATATACTGACCACAAGCTCATTTCTAGGGACCCTTTCATCCATCATGGTGAACCTGCAGTTCTATTCACAGAGGCAGATGAATAAGTCTTGGCTGAGCCATACAATTTTACTCTTGTTGGCAAATTTGTGCACCGGAGGCCAGCTATGCTTAAGGTACATGAAAACTTTTCTCGCTTTGGTTTTTGTGGTGATTATACTATTGGTCTAATTGATGCCACACACATTTTGATTCACTTGGCGCACGAGGATGACTATGCACGGTTATTCCTCAAGCTATTGGCAACAGGTTGTCTATGACCAGAAGCCAGAATTTTGTTACAAATGTAGACATTTTGGGCACTTAGAAGTTCAGTGTAAACTTGGCATCAGATCAGCACCACCTCCTGTTGTTGAGCCTATCCCTAAACCTGTTATCCCTGCTAAGGATAAGGACAAGGGAAAGGCAATTCAGGGTGAGCCATGTCAGCGGTGGACCCCAGTTCGTAGAGAGCAGAAGAGACAGCAGGCTAGCACATCAGGTGCACATGTTTCCCAAGCAGATCAACCTATTGTAGCCCAGTCAATTGCATCCCTAGTAGACACTGCTTCAGTTAATCCTCCAAGAGTGCAGTCAGTAGCTCCAGACAATATTGCTCCTTTCAGTGCCATTACACCAGCCTTGGCTCCATCACAGCCTGTTATTCATGTTGACAGTGATTACACTGACCCCTTGGCTCATGACATGTCTCAGCGAACACATGATTCAGAGGCTACAGATAGAGTTATCAGACAGCTTCCCGGTCCTACACCTGGCCGTACTGGTAATCCTGCCTCCAGCTCTCCACTTGTTTGTCAACAGAACATTGAAGCTTCTATTCCTTCAGTAGAATCTGATCAGTCGGATACTGAAGCTACATCACAGATTGAGGTCCATCAGCAGGGTGTGTTCCGTAGGTCTTCTGCTGAGGATTTAGTGGGTATGGCTGGTAGATCAGAGGATGACGGTTTTGTCCGAGTCACAAGAAAGAAACACCCACGTTCTACTGATACTCCACATCCGAGCAGAAGGATCACCAGGAGTCAGTCACATGATACCTCTTCACATTCTCCATCCCTATGAGTGCCATCATTTGGAATGTGAGAGGTGTAGCTAGTGTAGCTACTCGTCGGCGCCTGAAGAAACTTATACAGCTTCATCAGGTTTATCTGTTAGTTTTACTGGAGCCTTTTGTTCTTCAGCACAGCTTTGCATATATTCGACATTACCTGCGCTTCGATACGGGAGCTCAGAATGAATCGAATAAGATTTGGTTTTTCTGGAACTCGGGGACTAATGTTACTATTATTGTTGATCATCCCCAATTTCTTCACGTTAAAGTTGAGGACCCCAGACTAGCTCTTCCCATCTATTTTACTCCAGTTTACGCTTCTTGTGATGCTTCTGTCAGGAGGGATTTGTGGGCGGGTCTTCACCACATCTCCCTCGATATGGAGGACCCTTGGATAGTTGGGGGAGACTTTAACGTTATTACTCATGATGGAGAGCGCACGGGTCATAATACTCGTGATCGAGGCACTACAGCTTTTTCTGATATGATGTTGGATAGTGGTCTAGAGGATGCAGGTTTCCTTGGGAATCGATACACTTGGACCAATGGGCGGGTCAGGAAGAGATTGGATAGAGTACTCATTAATTCTTCAGCTGCAGCATTTTGTCGACAGCTTACAGTGAAGCACTTGAACAGGACTTCATCTGATCACTCACCTTTATTACTTCAGTGGACTTCTGATGATGACTTGGGGCCTAGGCCTTTCAGATTCCTCAACGTTTGGACCAAGCATCATGATTTTTTAGCATTTGTCTCTCAGAAGTGGTCACTCCCCACTCATCTTACGGGGATGGCCGCTCTTTAGGAGAAATTCTTCAGGATGAAATAGGGATTGCACTGGTGGAATCGACATTTGTTTGGAGACATTTTCCAGCGAGTGAGGGATGCTGAGGACAGGGTTGATGAGGCAGAAATTGTATTTGACAGTGACCCTATACCGGAACATCGTGACATACTGCATCAGGTTCAGGCAGCTTTGAACCAGACTTTATCTATTGAGGAGGGCTTCTGGAAGCAAAGGGCTGGCTCACGTTGGGTATGTGAAGGAGATCACAATACTCGATACTTCCATGCGATGGTTCAAGGACGCCGTATCAGATCGCGTATTAGGTCCATCAGGACACAGGCAGGGGAAGTCTTAGCTACTCCTGCTGATATTCAGACATCGGCTATTGCTTTCTACCAGGATCTCTTATCTACTCCTCCACAACCTTT